AATTTGTTTAATTTACATTTGTAATCATTGAGATATACAATTTTTCGTCACCACCATTTTTTTCTTAACACACTGTATATTAATATATCTGTTTTAAGTCATCACCTGATACCTTATTATTATATAAATACTCTTGAGAATAAAGAGAATGCAATTTTTCAAGAAGACAATGCACCCATACATACAGCAAGAGTAGTAAGAAGTTGGAAGGAAAAAAATAATACAGTAAGTCTTCCTTGGCCTGCACAAAGTCCTGACATGAATCCAATTGAACATCTCTGGAATGAACTTGAAAGAAGGATTCAGACTTACAAATCTTTGCCAAGAAACAAGGAAGAGTTATGGCAGATACTTCAGTGTTTACCATAATCTTATAGGAATAGATAGCATGCCTAGTTATAATAATTAAAGTAATAGTAAAGGAAATTCTAATATTTTAATAACCAATTTATTAAAATTTATTTTCTCTATCATTTCTCAACCAAATGTTATGAAATTTTAAACATATATATATTCCAAAGCGTTTAAACATATTTTATTAGTAAAGCATTTGACATTGGCATATGGGCTTATTTATAACGATCAAAGTTAGAAGACAAAACCTTTAAAATCGTTAGGATGGCTTTGATCGCTTTGATAGGTCGAGATATCAGTACTTCCAGTACGCATGAATTAACGTATAATTCGTAAAATTTTGTGTTACTCACTGTAAATTTACTTGACGGAAATTGTAACGATCGGAAACAGTTATATCTGAACGAAACGGTATTTGGAAAGTACGCTGTTGCTTTTTACAACCGTCGTTATATCGTCGTTCGATTATAACGATGTTTAAGGCCAAATGGACGTTTATTGTTATATTTATTCGATTTGCTGCTGAAACGAATAAAAATAGCTAATTGTGGCGCTTGACCCCCTGAAAATATGTGGCGTTATGGCTACTCCCTTGTCGACAGAAATATCAATCAATTACATGCCACGTAACTGAATTTTTTTCAACCAAAGCAATACACAAAACAATGGTATGTAAAGTTACTTCTGGTTTCAGAACATGTCTTTGAGCAGATTACACCTAACACTGCCTTATGATAGTCGGTCTCGGACGCTCTCGAAACACAGCATGAGGATATGATTGTGGGTAAACAAATTATAAGAATTAACCGATTTCCACTAAAACATTCTGCGAACTGATTACCCATTCTCCCTCTACCATGATATTTCAGCATGATGCTGAGTTAGACTATTATGGTAAACGTTTAGCTACTTGTTCGTCAGATAAAACTATCAGAATTTTTGAAATCGATGGAGAAACCAAAAGACTTGTCGAAACTCTCAAGGGGTATGGTTAAAGTTTCACTTCTTCGTTTTTCGTGGTTTCATGATACGCATAGATCTGAATTTCACTCTAGACACGAAGGACCAGTATGGCAAATTGCTTGGGGGCACCCTCGATTTGGGAACATACTAGCTTCATGCTCATACGATTGCAAAGTTATAATTTGGAAAGAGCAGCAAGGAAGTTGGACAAAGATTAAGGAATATGATGAAGTACATACTGCATCTGGTAAACATATTGACAGTTTAAAAAGATAGTAATGATTTTCCCACCTGCAAAAAGAAGCTTTTATCTAATTGATCAGTAAAGTATTGAATATGCGGCAATTGTTACTGATCACTGAGTAATCTTACAGTGAATTCAGTTGCTTGGGCACCTGAAGAGTTTGGTCCCATTCTTGCCTGTGCTTCGTCCGATGGAAAGGTATCCGTACTTACTTTCAAAGGTATTTCTTTTTACCGACATCTTGTCCCATTAGTGCCGTGTTCTTCCCCTTTTAACAATATTCACTTTTGGCAATTAGACGATGGTACGATGCAATATGTTCCTTTTGAGGCTCATCAGATCGGAGCCACTTCAGTTTCATGGGCACCATGTACAGTACCTGGTTCACTTGTTCAAACAACTGGAGGAGCGTCTAACGCGAACACGTTAAAGAGGATTGCAACTGGGGGATGTGACAATCATATTAAAATTTGGGTTTGGAGGTTGGTTATCGAATAATTTACAAGAGAAGGCCTTCATTTTTAGATTGTAATACCTAACGTTTCTAATCTTTCTCTTGGCGCTTCTTTCAAGGGAACAAGAAAATAGTTGGAAATTAGAAGATACCCTTGAAGGACATACAGATTGGATACGCGACGTTGCGTGGGCCCCCAATATTGGTCTTCCGAAGAGCTATTTGGCTAGTTGTTCTCAGGTTAGTGTATTCCAAAGTTCATATGCAAAGACTGGATCACCATACTGATTAATACTTGTTGATAGGATAAGCATGTATTTATCTGGACTCAAGAGAGTCCGAACTCAGAATGGACAAAGAAGGCTTTGCGAGAAGATCGTTTCAATGATGTGGTTTGGCGTGTCAGTTGGTCACTATCGGGCAATATTTTAGCAGTGTCTTGCGGAGATAACACAGTGACGCTCTGGAAGGAGAATTTAGCTGGCGAGTGGGAGATGCTAAGCGAATTCGCAGATCAATAAAGCTACAAGGTTTGGAAAATTCAAATAGGCATTGACAACGTCTTGGTTGATTTAACGTGACGGTTTAATAGCTATACTCACATCGATTCCAGATTCCGACAAGTTGTGTAATTGAATTTGTTATTGGAATGCACACGTTCCAATATCAGGTCGTCGAAGGATAATGAATTATAGATATTATATAGAGTTTTACTCACATCTATGTTATATGAATGCCGATTGTGGCGCTCGAATAGTATAAACAAATTCAAAATAAAAATTATGTACATGGTATTGTATTAATTATTTCACCAATTGACATAATGGATGAAATTGATATATAGGCCGGGTCCGTTAATTTCACACAAGGTGATTGATCTATAACCAAGCGTGTTGTAATACCTCCACAATGGATTAAGCTTACACGAATAGCCTGTGAAGTTTATGATAATTTGCCGTCATCACGTAAACTGACATTAAAACGCTACTAGAGTACTCAGTAATGGTCAGATGCAAGCTCGAATTCGGCTTACCCGAATCAACATCAATCCTCTCCATCAAGTAAATAGTGTTTACATTAATATGGTTTACCAATAAGATCTAATCTGCACCCCCCCCCCAACCATGCAAGCACCGACTATATGTCAGCCTCTTGAGATAATTGCTCGAGATTTTCCAACTCAAACCCAATCTCTGCCTTCTCAATTTTGAAATGATGCAACTCACGTGCCAAAGATCTTATGTGTTTATCACTACAAATACATTTCAGCTGTTCAATATTTGATTGGCTTTTGGTTGTCAACTAATGATCGTATACACATACCTGGCCTTCATACACCAAACACAGTAGTCATCCAGCCAAACCTTGGAATAGATATAATAAACGTCATGATTATCGAATGTATCCTTGATGTCCAAAAGTACTTTTATAATTGCACGTCTTCCCAATTTCAATAGCACATAGACATCTTGCAATACTTTTTCGCAAAGTATAAAACTTCGATAGAGTGGATATGACAAGGAACGACGAAAAAGAGCAATTACAGTCTCCCTTAACGTTGAAAATTGCTGTATTTACACGTTTTGTGATTTGCTGTTAAATTATGTGAAAATTTTACCGATAATGTCCGCAAGCATTTTCCCCATGCCTTGTATACCTACCTCTAACGACGATATTGTGGGACTAATTTTGCCTATAGTCCAAGCTGACTCTATGGTATTCTCTCCTTCAGTAAATCTATGGTTATAGCTGTATGCGAATAGAAGATCTACTAATCCCAAGTAAATCGCTTTCGGGTCATTTAGAAGATCTAAAAAAATATTAAGAATGGGGGTTACTCATCTGATGCGATCGGTTCCAATGTAAGAGTAATTTTTTCTTATCGACTTACATTCTTTGTTAGGCAGCCTAAGCATCATTTCACGCTCACGTGATGTGAATTCCAGCTCGGGGTCTTTCACACTATGTAATTTCTCATTTTCGTTGATTACACTATCCGATTCTTTTGGCACTGTATTGCACGAGATATATTTATGACAAGAAGCCTATGGATAAAAGGAATCTGTTTATACATACCATCCTTATCATTTTTTTGTAATCTCTTTAATGTTTTCCACCAATGAGTTTTATATTTTAGAAGGTTTAATATCGGTTCATTGTTTAACAGATCTGCGCTTATAAGAAACGTGTTAATGCAGTAATTAAATAAGAACGAATGGTTTATAGTAGAATATTTACATATAATGATCTTCATCAAACTTCAAATCTTCTGCTTGTATTCTATTCTGCCGCCTTGACAAAGGCGTTGACGTCTCGGGATCTATTACTTCGTTAATTTCATTACATGTTTCTTGCACGTGAGTAAAGTATCCTGAATACGATCCACTGAATCCATATTGCGCGTTCAGGAGTATTTCTGGAGCATCGGCAACCTTCTGTGGAAGCTCCCAAGAATATTCGATAGCTGTATGAAAATAGAATAAAGTTGAAATATACAGTCAAATTAACGAGAATAAAACGGTTGACGGTTTACCTTCTTCAATCTCTGCATCCGTTAAGGCATCATTATTCTCGCCAACAACTTCTATTAGATGTCCACCATTCGAGCTAGCAACACTGCGAGCCAATAATTTTGTCAAGAGATCAAGATCTGGAAAATATTCTCCAGGCGTTTCTTTAGGAAGTTTGACTGTCATATTCCCCGATGCTACATCGTAGAGTGCTGAAGCGCGAGTATCTTCGATGACATTTCCAGGAAGTTGCAGACTGTTTAAAAGTGAGTTCGGGTAAGTAAAAGGTTTTGTTCTAAATCGTTGATACGGGTTGTCCCCTTACCGTAAGTAATATGGCTTTAGATAAAACCTGAATTGTGATCCGTCAACATCGAGTTCTACGTCTTGTGCCTGTAAACAAATGAATAGTAATGGTATTGAGTAATATGTTTACTTTTCGTCATGCTCAATTCAAACAGATGTACTAACTCTAACGTAAGGAGCATGTATTGTAATTACGACAAAGTTATCATCTTGGGTAATTGAAAAGTGTGGGGTAATCATTGCCTACGTCGAATATAAACTTTTTCACCCACACCAGAAAATCGTACTTTTTTATTTCTGGTGATCATATCTTTATTTAGTTAGATTTCAAACTGTTTAACATATGCAGGGAATGCAAAACTCCCCCACATAAATAAAGAGAAGAGAAAGCATATGTTAATCTGCTGCTTGATGCATCAATATCATCGGAAAGTGAACCCAACGCTCAGCATCTTGTGAAGGCCAAGGTTTGATTATATTTTACGGAGGCAACGTCTCAGCAGAGTGTCTCAAACAATGATAGAATTGGCAATTTAATCAAACAGATAGGAGAAAAATGGCAACATAGAAGACAAGGATATCATAAAACGTCGTTTACTTCTCGACCAATATTTCTATGCCGTGCTGTCGTATTTCGAGGCAATCGGCAATTGATTGTGTTCGTAGAGTCAACAATAACGCTTATGAAATGACACTCTGATGTAAACAATAATGAGTTGAGAGGGAAAAAAAAACAATCAATCTCTCACCAACACCAAAGCAGATTTTCGATAACTTTGTACGTGTACAGACTTCGTGAGCAGAGTGGAGATTTTACTCAGCGAGTTTGCACTATGGAGCTATGTGATCTGTCTGAAAACAAATTAGTTTAACCAGGTTACTGTTTCGAATTGCTGCACAAGAAATACATGCTAATACGCGTAATAAAACAATTATCAGCCTGTGGTTATAACAGTTGCTCATTTTCAACATTATTTTTCATCAATAGTAGATAGCACTTGTTTGATTTTGACGTAACATAAGATTTTATTTTTTTTTTTAAAAAAAACTCGTAAACGGTAACGTTCAGCATGTCTCAACGAGAAATCGAATATTAACGATTCATTGATGAACAATATTTTTAACTACAAAGCGACTTACTTTTTCTATTCTTACTGACCTGCAATTTCTGTGATCAATGCTGTTTTGCACCAACTCGGTAAAAGAACTACTCGGTTTTTGGTAGATGTTATCACGCGCTCCGCAAATTATGTTTTCATATTACAAACCATATGGCGATAATCCAAGTACCCAATTTAGGACATCCATTGTTGGTAAAACGGGTAAATTGTATTACAATCCCATTGTGTTAAAAATGATAGCACAGAAAATTAGGTTTATTAATACTGCTGGGAACATTATAATAAAGTTGTAATCATACTATTTGGCTCTTCTTTTTTTTTTTTAAAAAAAATAAAATAAAATAAAAAATTACGCGTTATACTTTCGCCGGGGACTGTACTAACACTTTTATCGGGCTGCAACTTTATAACAATGATGCGTTTAAGTATATTATTGGTCTTTCGAAAAATACAATCAATGAGCTTTGAACAGTACAACAATGAGAGATGTTTCGTAATGTTCTACTAATGAGTCAGCAAAAAATCATCATTACGTTTGACAGGTGTATAATTTATGTACCATTTAATATAGTGGGACTATAATTATCCGAGACGTTTTAGGCACGAATAGAATGACTTTTCGCGATCGCACTGCAATTCTCGAAAAAAAAAAGGTTGAGGCTTGATCGCTGCATAATCTATGTCATTATGATCATTGTGTTGTGCTCAACCAAAAGCCCTCGTGATGTCGAGCATAGAGAATATCAAATAATATATAATTGATTACAAATATTATTTGAATTTCTATTTTAATATTCGCCTTTCGTAATACATTAGAACGCGAACGGTTCAAAATAGCAAACAGAGAGAAGCTCTGAAATATATTTAAAAAACTAGAAATTAGATCAAATATATCACATGCACGCATCAAGACCAATTTCGGTACAGATGTAACAGGAAAACGTCAACGACAATTACAGAACTCAATTAGCAGCAACTAAACGTAAAATAAATATTCCATTATCCCATTCAATGTCTCGACTAGCTCATCACATATACCAACCCTTTGACTACATTTCTCCCCTCTCCTGAATCACGAGTAACAGGATCCCATTTCAACATGTCTGCTTCATAAGCAGAAGTCACGATACGCACCATTATACCCGCCGTTTCACTAAATATGGAATCTTGGCGTTCATTGACCCAGCTGCAGGTCATACACGTACCACCCTGTTGTAAGAGAAAACGCAGTAAACTTCCCATATGTGGGTAATCGCGCAGTCTATCTGCTATCCATTCCACACGTTCTGTACAATTGTTTAAAGCGTAATTTGTAGGAAGCGGCTTCACTGAGATCAACCCTTTTAACCGTAAATGGTAGAGCATATGGTATCCATTCTTGGGTGGTGCTCTGAACAACCTCTTAAACGTAGCAAATGGATGTTCTATACTTGTTATTCCATGCTGTATGAGAAAATCCACAACGTGAATATGCTGGTATCGAATAGCCTCCTCGAGCAATGTCGGATACTCGGGCACTCGCCCGTGTTCGTCTACGGTAAATACTCGATGGTATATGAATAATCGAATCATATCTAAATCGCCGTTGCGGCTAGAATAAGTTCTAAAGAAATTACATGCGAGTTTCCACTCTTCACGACTAATTCTTGCTTTCCTGTTCCTTAGGATACAATTAATTACACTCTTATTATTCAAAGAGATGAACTTTGAAAGAGTCTTATCTGATTTGTATCCGCCATCAACTAAAAGACAGACAATGGCAGCAGCTTCATTACCCTTGAACACGGCACGACGCGCCAACTCTTGAAGAAATTTCTTAATTCCATCTGTTTCCGTTTCTGACTCGTCCTCTTCGTCAAGATCGTCAATATCATCTATGTCAACTGTGTGTGCGTCGCCATTCTCGTCGTCTTGTTTATCACCCTCGTTTTTCTTCTGTTCCCCAGGGAAGAAAATGTCTTTGTAATGCATAAAGACCGACTCTAATAGCTGGTACTTGCCTAGCTCCAATAACTTTAACATCCACATTCCATCGTCCCCACACAAAATGTCAGCTCCATTATTAATCATATATTTAACAAGTTCGAGCCCTCCTGTGTGGTCATCTCTATCTCGCCACATGTAAGATGTAGTCACACGAAGGGCTTGCGCATGGCCCAACTGACGTATCCCCCACCGAGCCAGAACGAATTTGTTACGTACTAACTTGTAGAAGAATCTGTTAACACGCCCAATCACTTCTAGGGTATCACAGAACTCGCATATGTGGATTAAAATCTCATTTGGAAACGACTCTAATGACATCCATCTCAAATACTTGGATCTATCCTTTCCGAACCCCCTGCGTCCTCCTAAACTCGTTCCACCCATACTCCTCTTTTGTGCCAAGGGATCATCACTATCACGACAAAATCGTCTTTTAGCTATCCTCTGTCGACGATTAGACGCTTCCAAAGCAACTCTCCTACGGGATAGCTCCACTAAATCAGTCGCCATTTGTGGGGGTAAGGGAGGGAGGCGCAGTTCTGGTGAGACTGCGAAAGTAAAAGTGAATCCATCAAATGTAAGGTCACAGTTGCTCGAGTCGACCGAATCGTTTAATAGTGAAGCATCCACTTCCATTGCGTCATATTTAGCGTGTTCCTATTAGTTTCAGAGAAGGAGGTAGGTTTTGATTGGAAGGGGTTTAGGGAGAGTCTGATGTACGTAGACTGGATGCTGAAAAGCGTCAAGTGAAAGACTAGTGGATACCATTCTCGTAAAGGTGTCTTAGGGTTGAGTGGTTAGGACAAATTGTTTCTTTATTGGCGCTTACCCGCGGCAGAGCTGTTTCACTACCGTCGTCTTCCTGCAGGCGTACTCTAAAAAGCGGCACTAAACTCTTAGAGAAACAACCCGCCGTGAACTTCAAGTGATAGCCTATAAGAATGTTACACAATTCGTGCTTTAATGATCAACTCGTTAAATTATTATGTCATTCTATTGACATTTTCGACAATTTGAGAAGCACTCTAATTCTCGTAATATCGATTATACCTGATTTTGCGGTCACGATTTCCCTAAATTACAGATTATCATTTTCGAAGCAAATTTCTTCCCCTTACTGTCGAATTAAGATGGCCTCAGATAGTAATAGTAATAGTAATAGTAATAGTAATAGCAAATTACAGATTTTACCACGTGATTGAGGGGAATCTGACAATGACAAGCTTATTCGAGAATCATAATGTTAAAAATCGATAACGATGGAATCTGGATTAATAAGTTGCATCAGCGGGGACAATTTCTCACGTCAAAATCTTGAAGCCATTAATTAGCTCTAGAAAAGTTCAAGCATCGAAAGCTTGGTATATGTAAGGAGAACGATGCTAGTGCTCTACTGAAGAAGACTACGGTTGCATCTACAATGCGGACGAAACTGGCTCATTTGGTTGTGCAAAAAATAATTAACATGATTGCATCTGGACTGAAGTTTATTTTATAATCCTGCATTTATCTTCACACTCTTAGGCTCAATGCAATCGTACTCACAACTCACCGAATTATGGGCGAGAGTAAAATTCCATTTTGCATGGAACGAACTCAGTTCCTCATGACCAAACCCAGAAGTATGTATATTTGATATAGTTTCTTGATAGAATGCACAAATTAGATGTCATGCTAATTCAGTAATATTAATATTATCTACCAGTAATTCTATAACTTTTTTAGATAGTTCTCGTCGGAACCCTTGATAGAAATTTGAAGTGTTATTATTGCTTTTCGCTGATTATAGTACTATATTATTATACTTGTTAAATAAATAACCTATTATGCAATACATGATTACTAATTCGTGACCGAACCATAAAAATAATAAATCGGAATATGTAATGATAAACGCGTGCGACACGTTATTTTTTCCCTTTTTTAGAAAAAGACCCCTTCTGCAAAACATCAGAAATCTAAATGAGTCGTACCCTGGCTAGGCAGGTGATTATAACCAGTCAAAGACCTACTTTACCGTTTAATCCATGTGTTTACGATTCTTGCAGAGGCTCGTCGCGATATTCTGTGAGATAGCCTCGTCTTTAAGACACCACTTCCTCAGCAAAATGCGAAAATTGACTAAAATGAAATCAACGCCCTGCTACCAATTGGCATCTCATTTGAATTGTAAGAATATAATGCTATTCTTAAGTGTTATGATATGGGACTGGAGGGTGAGTGTGTCAGCATCACTCTGCCTTTCAATAGCTTCTACATTGGGTTTGCTGCTCTGGTGTCTCCCGTCTTTTGATGAATGTGGGGGCTTAAGACAGATCTTGGAGGTTTTTTAATGGACTAGAAGGTTGCTGTTGCGCTTCTAAAAACATGGTATTTTAGTCCTTATCTGCTATAGCGGAATTCGACATAATAATCGTGCGTAAAACATTCTTATGCTGACAATGCTGAGATGTCAGTGACAGCCCAAAATAAAGCTCTAACTGCATATCATAACCGTGATTTGGGTAATGCTTTAAATGGGGATTAAGTTTTATGAAATATTTGATTTTTGAGTTTAAAATCACATCACTTCAATAGTGCTAGAGACGGTATTTCTATAACTTCGGGCATTATACCAATTTTGGATATTGTTTGGTTGTTTTAAAAGGCCAACAATTTATCATGCTGACTTTAGAGAAAAATGATCGAATAAGAAAAAGGTTGAAGACATTTAACCAGTCCGCTTATGCAAAGTTACGCATTCACGTATTTGAATAATCCCACAGTTGGCTGACAAAACTGTAAAGACACTTGCACTGATGAATCGCCGTTCCCATCTTTATTCATTTGAACGGTGACTACAGGCAAGATTACTTCAAAATCGAACACCTCTTTAGTGTGCATATGAAGCGCTTGGCTTCGGCAGCAGACATATTGAATTTCACAGAAAGTAGTCTTCAACTCCTTTTTTTGACATTCGCGTCAGGTATCTCGTGTGTAAAGAAGTATAACCTATTATACCCGAGAGTTTCGTTAAGTCAATTCTCCATAACAATTACAGAAGTCACGTACAGTATCACATGAGATTCATTTATAAATATAGCACGCGCCGTGTAATTAAAACTATGTCTATACAATTGTCTGTCATGATCTCGTTCCGATCTGAACTTTTTTTTCTCGTTCTGCTGATGCTTTTAACATTATTGTTTTCTTATAACATCTTTTCCTTCGATATTACTGATATCGTTTTTTTTTACATTATCTCCTCTGATTTATAAATACATCACATAATCATCCAAACCACCACGAAGAAAATGTTATTTACTTTGGTCAGTCAACTGACATTCTCAAAACTTCGTGTCAGCCCTCATTTCACAAAACTGTCTTATATATTCGCAAGACGTTATGTCAGAAAACGGCAGAATTGGTACGAGTCTTTTGACAAAGATGAAGGTATCATTTTGAAAGCTACTTGTAATTATTCATCAATTCATGCTTATCAATATTGGTAATCTTTCCCAAGAACGTTTTTTACAAAAAGGTGAAAAGAATAAACCCGAGGAGATTGACCTCCTCTACGGTCTAAATGTAGTCTTGCCAGCTATTGAACAGTCTCGGCGAACGATGTACGCATTATACTACAAAGATTCTACGCTATCTCGAAAAAGAGACGATCCAGGTGAAAATTGCAAACTACCAAAGCACTGTTTTCTTCCGTTCACAGTTCTCATCAAATTTCATATAGCCACGGATCGCATTTTCTTTCTCGCTGAGAAGCACTCTATCCCGACAATTCGCAAGAGCCCCTATGAACTAAGCAAACTCACCGAGGACAGACCACACCAAGGCTTTGTTCTGGAAGCATCACGGATCAAACCAATTCGTATAACTACACTGGATAAACTAGGGAGAACTGGGTATAGAATACTTTCGCCCGGCAATAATTCGATAGGAATGCGGCTGTCAACTCGGAGATTTCCTCTCTGGATTGCTTTGGATCAAATTGTTGATCCGCAGGTAAGTAAGCATGGGATTGATGATGAGGCTTGATATTTTGTATAGCTATAGAGTATTAATTACAAACATTGGGTTAGAACCTTGGTGCTATTATGAGGTATTTGGCTTGATCGAAGCAAAGTGATGACCATTATCTATCCGTGAAGAGAATTGTAACAATGTCCTTTATCGTTTGGAAGGACGGCATATTTTATGGGAGTCGATGGGTTCGTCATGTGCACCACGGAGAGGTGATACACTCAAAGATCTCGTCCCCCTGTTCGTCAGCTCTTAGAGAACAAAATGAACTAAATTAACAACTGTTCAGTGCGCCTCTTTCAGGCTTCGCATCGAAAGCCAGTGCAGGAGTTCTTGAAGTTATGGACATTTATGATACCGATAGAATGGATAGATTTCTGGAGGTATTATTCGTTGGCTGGATTTTATTTTCGTGGCATCGACAACTGTTAATATAATGCCTATATAACAGACATCATCTCGTAATGGGTGGAAGGTATTCGGATCGGTATCTCCCGAAAATGTTGATGCGACATCAATAGTTGACCTGTCTCCACCTGTACAATTGCAACCATCAATTCTAGTTCTCGGTGGTGAAGGTATAGTATCACCAATGATTCACAGTAACGGCTATTAATGATATTATTAGTCAGTGTGCTGATGTTGGACCCTTAGAAACGCTCGTCTACTGAAGAATGTATCTATTTCCTAGGAAAGGGATTACGACCGTTCATTCGCAATGTGTGTCAAGAGATGGTTTATATCCCGTCACTAGGTGAACGAGGATTGTTGCACGTTGACTCCTTAAATGTCAGCGCAGCGGCAGCAGTCCTGATTTACAAATTCCTCCTGGGTTAACAACAGGATAACGCAAGTTTACAAAGCAAGTTGAGACGTAGGACTCCATGTTCTTTTGGTCTGGCAGCTCTAAGTTGATCGTAGTTGATTCAATAAAATATCAATCGTACACTTAGTTCAATGCGACCCAAGAAAGCATTGCAAACCTTATTGGCGCTATTAATCAATCATCAATATGTCGCCGAGAAAAAACCAAGGGTTTATTTTGCTCTATAGGAGATACCGAGTAACAAGTAAAGAATAACAGATTCATACCAAACAATAAAAATGTTTGCAAAGTAAAAACGTTCGTCCCAGGCAAACGAGTAAACCATTCAGATGTACAAAATATTTACAATCGACCATCATGACTTACAAACCCCATACAGCTCTTCGAAAAGTTCCTCCAACCGTCTCAAACTTCTATCCAAGTCGCTGTAAGTAGCACAAGTAGTACTCGAGTCGCCATTCGATTCTGTATAAGCGTTTAAATGTTCAACTCCAATAGTCTCTCCAACCGCCTGTTCTAGTCTAAGGAATGCACTGATCAAATTTTCGTTTCCCTGGGATATTGGCTGACTCTGCTCGGCTGCAGGACGCTGCATGGGCTTGACACAGTTTGCAAACGATCTGAATACCTCAGCGTCATGCTTTGGTAGATAAGGATTGGATAGACGTCGTGTCGGAGAAGGTTTTTGGAACGATTCTGTTAAGACCTGTGTTACAGGCTTTGATGTTAGGCTGATCTTTGAGGAGTTGGAATCGCGGCGTTTTGATTGACGTTGAGCGCATGAACGTTTTAATATAGGCGGAAAGGAGTCACGACGTTTGCGAATCAATCTCAAGCTTTCGGTTTCCTTCGACAGTGTCCTGGACTTTCGCATTCGTTTGTCTATCGTGGGTTTCTCAATTTGTGAGCGCGAGATAATCATCTGACACGTATACGCGATCTCTTGTACCATAGATTTCTTTCCCGTTGGAGAAATAGTCTTGTCACCCGCTGATCCATTAATTATAGAATTACAGTAGTCTGCTTGCAATTTTACAAAGCGAAAACTGACTAAACAGAACAGTGCCCAAGCAAGTATAACTTGTACACCGATCCAACGCAAGTATAGAGCGAGAGTAAGAAAGAACAAGTTAAACAGTAATTCTTTCTTGTGTTGTGAAAAATGTGCCATAGTTCTTTATCTTACAATGAGCTAGAGCGAATATTCTCAATCTACATGTTGATTTTATGTCTATGCTGCATAATACGTACTATATAAGATGAGAGTCTGTGGGAAAGAATACTTCCCTTCGATTTGCAGGGGAACATTTTTGGTAATCGAGAATGTGTCAGTAGGTGGAAACGATGATTATTGGTCACAAAAAGACAGGTCATAGATAGACCAACGTCTTATGCTCTCCCTAAATGCACCCCCCTTGGGACTGGAGGGCGTATGGAGAATTTACATAGAAAAAAGAGTCTGTACTTGATGCGAAAAACGGACAGATTAAAAACAGAGGAAAGAAACACTTTTACGAACTCTAACCTTTGCTTTATTTGTCAACCAACCCAATTGCCTTTAAAAATCATGCCTAAAAACCAAAGAGTTGAAGGAAAAGGTTAAAGAAGGAATTAAGCCTTCTTATTCAAGTGCTGATGCTCTATCTACTTCAGCAACTCACAATCAAAAGCGTTTAAGTAACCAATGTCTGTTATTAAGGAGAATTAATTAATCTTTGCCAAAGATTATAAACTTTCCTTTTGGATCAAACCGAGTGAATTCGATAAGTCACCGTCTTAGTCTTAATATTACGACTTATCGAAAGCCACGTGACTAATATGTAAAAAATTTTATGAACAAAGTAAATTATTAAAATAAATTATTCCTAAATTGGTTTGCATTGAAGAAGCCATTCACTTTCTATCTTAAGTCTCTTAATCTTGAAGCGAATGGACTGTCTACCATTATGTAAAATTTGAATGGTTTCTAAGACAGCATTAGTAGAAGCCTCGTTTTCGTTTTCTTTTGGAAGGAGCTATCTTGGATGTCTGAAAGAATAATTTCACCACCCGTTGAGCTTATTGCTCGTTTCTAGAGTATGAATCAGAGGATAAACTGAATTTATAATTATTTATCTATCTTATAAGCGTCTGACAAATTGAAAAGGAGTTAGAACAAGCCGCCGAAAAGAATCACTTTACGGTTCAGAATAAACGGCTTGAAGAGAAAAAGCAGGATTAGAAAACCGATTACAAAGTGCTAATGAAAGTATTCAAAGTTAAAATTAATAGAATATATAACTCTTGGACTGATTGTGCAATTTTCTCGCATTACTGATTAATTATTGACTTATAAAATGATTGAATAGTTGCCATGAAACCAATCAAACAACCGATTGAAAAAGCATCTTAGAATTAGAAACTTTATTGGAATCTGAGGCCAATAAGGGGCAAAGCAGGGTTCAACAGGATGAGCAACTACCAACTGCTAACTCTTGCATATGATCAGCTATATCACTTGATCTGTTATTTGACGAGTATGTTAAAAGAACTTCTTTACGTGCACTTTGTCAAGAGTTCGAAATTAGTTCAGCGTAACTCGAAAAAGCTAACCTGGTTAGTTGATCTTTTCGGTTCTCACTCTTTAGCCAATGCATAGCGTGTATGGATTAGTCAGGGAATTTGCTTATTTCCAGGTTGCAGTTCTGTTTTTCCCCTCAAGCCACGTTGTTAATATGTAAAGTGTGTGAACGAAAAAGAGATTGCTTACTATTGCGGCATTTTATTGCGTTAACGCATACCTGGCAATATAGTGAGTGACCAGCATTACCTGGCACGTGTGTAACGAGTTATCCTTTGGCCTGTCAAACAGCTTTCATTGGGCAAGTTATTAGTTGAGCGGAACTTTGACCAATTATCGATCGGGTTCAAGTTAATGCATGCACCCCGATGACGCAATGTATACGTCACATTCCCGAAAGACATTGTTTCGGAATTTACTTTTATCCAATGATTCAAACTCCTTTTCTCTAGTTGGGACGCTATATTTATGTGAACCCATACACCAAACATATCAGCATCTCCGAGATCTTCGTTGCAAGTCTGTGGTTGGTCTAAACATTTTTGATATGGTGTGTTAGAACAAGGAATGGGGCTCGGGGTGGAAGGGGTGGTAGGATAGTTAAATATGGGAGAAGGGATGCGGAGTTGTGATATATTGAGATGACGGGGGGTGGATGACAAATGAAATGCTGTTTATTGCATTTGCCATCTCGCGTGGCCATTTGGAATCATGTGAGAGTGTCGAGTGTGGAGAAATGCTATGTTTGTCGTAGATGTAAACAAGTGTAAATAATAGATAGTAAATGCACGAGTATGAAGCATCATTATATGTATGGAATATGATTCGTAGCAGTAATGGCTAGTGAATAACTTATTAAGCGAATTAAGGTTCATTTAATTGTATTTGATATTTCATTTATTTAATGTTTATTGTGAATAGCATTCTGTTTATCAAGGATAACCTGTATAACGCAAGCGGAATCGGTCGAAATGAACACAGTGTATTCTTTATATCTGCAGATTAGGTGTATCAATTGGTTCAGTTTATTCTGTTTATTTGCAGTATTACAATTATCAGTCTATCGCATATAAATAATTAATATACAATCTACAATGCAAAATGATGTAATATACACAGTATAGTATATTTATAATACATTATAATACTGCACCATACTTTAAAAATATACACATGTATCACATTATATTGTGTCCAATACATTGCACACTTCTTGTTCCTTCTCTTTGTTCTTGTAATCTCTATGTTTATCATGTGTTCTTATTGCACTATTATATGCTTACTCTATTATCGCTTATTCATATCCTTCCTGTCTACTGATTGATTGTTCGGCAGATCGGATTTATACTAGCCATAAAAGCTAACGATCGCCACAAACATTTATGCGCAGACTAAGAAGTTCTCGCGCTTTCCCATATCAAGCCTGGACCATTCTGTGTGTGACTCCTTTTTGTTTATGCCCATCACACACTCTCAAAGTTTACTTTTTTTCACCATCACCCCCCCATTCCATCCCCCAACCTCCTCATTCTATTTCTATACTCCCAGACAAGAGAAAAACACACTTCGTGTCAAGTGTGAAAGAAATATAGACTAAGAAGTAGTACCAGTCCCACACATCACACCCAAGGTACTCTCTTCCCCCACAATATTCTCTTGAACGCTTTTTGTTTAACTGACGCTCATCGCACTCTGTGTTGACACAGCCTACTGGCGTAGCGAGACAAATCCCAAGCCAGGTATATAGACGCCTGTCGTTAATCTATATTCGTTTCCACTTTTACAACCAACCTGAGTACTCAAACAACTACTTTACTTCAGTCGATGCAGTAATGTCGTCGAGCGGCCAACAGTCTTCTATAACGAAATTAGCCCAAGTCAACGAGCAAGCATGGCTTACACTGGGTAAATGTATTAATATACTGTCATGTAATATAGTTATTTGGAACCATTACCACAACCTGCAAAGGAACTGGAGCACGATATATGTGACATTCCTTATACGTGTTACACCTTTTAACGGGTTAATCGAAGGGAAGCTTCTACTCAAGAGCGAAAGGCACACATACGCACAAAGGGAACGTATATGCAACTGCATACACTACTACAACTCATCTCTCCCTTTGTCTACTGTGTTCTTTGTTCACCTTCACTACCCTTGTTTACAATCCTTCTCTACTCGTGCTATCCTCATGTTATAATTCGTAACCCGTCAACTTATGTTCTTCGATATCTTTTCTCATAAACCGCTCCCCTTCTCGATTGCCGATCCTAAGTAAAACAATGGGGATCGTCATAGTCTAATTAGTACGAAATACATTCGTGAATGCATTGTACACGTGACAAATGGCAAAGATAACAGACCTGACAAAGTCAATTCATCCATCTTCGTTAGTATCATCACTACAACTAATACTTTATTTCCTTCTTTATCAGGTCAAGTGGCGGAAATGATGTCAGACTATGATAGAGCTATGCAAGCGTATGAAGCAGCGATTCGACATAATACATACTCTATCCCTGCTCTATCATCTATTGCAGCATTGTGTAGGCATAGAGAGCAATTTCCAAGAGCGGTCGAATATTTTCAAAGGATATTGTCTATCGAACAGAATAATGGTGAAATCTGGGGTGCATTAGGTATGTACCGATGTAAGAAGTTGGATTTGATCTTGTGTTCAGTTACTAATAGATATATTATATTGGCAGGTCACTGTTATTTAATGATGGATGATCTACAAAAGGCCTATAGTGCTTATCAACAAGCTCTTTACTATTTACCTAGTCCAAAGGTAATATTAATATTATTAACATGTTCTGATAATGTCAATATATTATATCGATCTCATATTTATTTATCAATCAGGAGCCTAAACTCTGGTACGGAATTGGTATTCTATATGATCGCTATGGTTCACTCGAACACGCAGAAGAAGCATTCTCGCAAGTTATGAGAATGGAGCCGAAATTTGAAAAGGCTAATGAAATATACTTCAGATTGGGTATCATCTACAAACAGCAACAGAAATACGAGCAAAGTCTTGAGGTTTATATCGGTTATGTATTATCGGCATGGGTTTACTAGAGTTGGCAGAACACTAATCATAATTCATGATTCTAGTGCTTTAAATACATCCTACACAACCCCCCGCGCCCATTAACTGAAGTTGATATATGGTTTCAAATTGGACACGTGTATGACATGCAGAAAAACGTAAGTATTAGTCAGTCGGAGACAGCGATTATTAACGAAACGCTTGTTAACATATTCTAATGACTAAATCATCCTTGTGACAGTATACGGCAGCTAAAGAGGCATACGAACGTGTATTGGTTGAAAGTCCTAATCACGCCAAAGTTTTGCAACAGCTAGGATGGCTGTATCATCAACCAGGGTCAGGTTTTACGGATCAGGAGTGTGCTATCTCATATCTAACAAAGTCCATTTCGTCAGGTGAATTTGATTGCTAGAATAATTTGGATAAATATCATACAAGTAGACGTTATGAGCGCAGTAACTAACCATTGAGTATTAACATTTCATATAATAATAGATGATACTGACCCTCAATCGTGGTACCTGCTGGGTCGTTGTTTTATGGCCCAGCAAAAGTATAATAAAGCATACGAGGCATATCAACAAGCAGTGTAAGTAGCTATGAAATGAAAATTCAGGACATATGGCCAAGCACAAGTAAATAGGAGAACAAGAATGATTGCAATCTTAACCAATACTTACGCCAATATGTTTAATGCAGTTATCGTGATAGTCAGAATCCAACTTTCTGGTGTTCAATTGGTGTATTGTATTATCAGATTAGTCAGGTAAATAAGAATAATAATTTGTATGTACGCGATCCAAATTTGTATGGTCTAACTCAAGTCCTGTTATTTATAGTTCCGTGATGCATTGGATGCCTACAGTCGTGCCATTCGTCTAAACCCAAGTATAAGTGAAGTTTGGTATGACTTGGGAACACTCTACGAAGCATGTAACAATCAAATCTCGGATGCATTAGATGCGTATCAACGAGCAGCAGACTTGGAGCCTAGCAATCCTCATATCAAGCTAAGGTTACAAATGCTAAGAAATCAACAGGCTCAAGGTGGACAAACTACTGCCCCAGTCCCACAAGATGTTATTAATCCACAAGCATATCAATCTCAGAATGGTGCATCAATGATAGGAAATCCTCAATACACGCAGCCGCCAGGACCACAAGGTCCGCCACCTCTTTTGCAAAATTATGGCAACAGAGGTGTAGACAGCAGACCACCCCATCAACAACCTCCACCTCTGAACATGAACTTCCCTCCAATTAATCAGAACAGTGGAAGAGATCTTCCTCCAATTAATCGTAGTAGAAGCCCGGTTCCACCGTACAACCTAGCATCTCATCATCCACCACATATACGTGATACTACTACTTCCCCCAATCAGCCGCCCAGTTTCAATCCTGTCATGCAACCCCCACACGATACAAGACAGCTACCGCCGCAATCCGCTCCACCACCATTACGTCATAATAACGAGAAACGACCGTCGCCACAATTACCCCATATCCCAGAAGACCGTCGATCTAGATATTCACCGCAATTACCAGAATCTCAACCATCAGCACGCCAATACAATCCGTCGCCACGTATGGGTCCAGAGCACTCTGCTTCTCAACACAACAGCTATCATCCTCATCAATCCATGCCTCTCCATTCTCCGCAAGTAGTAGATCGTCGAGAAACACAGGAAATGTATGACCCCACAAAAGTCAAACCAGAAGAATCAAACGTAAGACACGGAAACGGTGTACCGCAGTCTTCCCATCCGCCTTCTTATCATACATCAGACACCCACCCTACCTCTCCGCCATCTCCCTCACCTCCCTTAGCTCCTTCAGTACACGAATCTCATCCATCACATCACCCACATCATGATTATCGTCAAGATCCTCCTATCAAACCAGAAGACTTAACAAGTTCATCTTCAATAGAACACTCGAGCAGATCATCCATTCTTAACCCTCCCCATCCACCATCACAACCACCCCCACCACCAATGATAGATCATAGATTGCATGAGAATGAAAGCCCAGTTGAAGATAAATCGGTTCTACCTCACTATCGCCAAGAAGACCATCATCTTCGTCGAAGATCACCTCCTCATATGTCCGAATTAAAACCACCATTGGCTCCGTCTGAACTTTCTTCTCCGCCGCCTCAAAGATCATCAGTTCCGCGTGAATCTCCAGTAAGAGAGAACGCTGGGTCAACATACGGCAGTAGTAATGGAGATAATAACAGTCCTGTATCTGCTAGCGAATTGCCTCGTAAATCGTCTTCGCCCGAACCACAAACCTCACGCATGTCATCAGGAGATGCATCAAGAGAGTTACCAAAACCGAACATTCTAAATGACGAATCATCATCTGCTCCACATTCTCCTAACGAACCAAGATCCCCTACTTTGGCAAGGCTAATGGATAATAATAATAATACGATACAAACAGATGCCGAAGGAAATCAGAAACCGGTATTACCGGCTATCCGCACTACTTTACCGCCTCTTACATCGTCGCAGTCTGATAGGTCTGTATCAAGACAAGTTGATGACGATTATGACGGAGCTGCTGACACATTATTGACAATGCGAGATACGGCTGCACCGCTCAGTAGCGCATCATCAGCATCCTCGGGAGGACAGAAGCGTCCGCATTCTCCCAGAGCAGATGCTGATGAAGAGCGTGCACGAGAGGAGAATTCATCGAAGCGATCAAGGACTTCACCCACTCGTGCTAATGACGAGTCTTTGTTCCATAATACACCTACATCTTTATCATCATCATCATCTCGTGATCAAGACCGTGAACGAGAGCGGTCGCGTGATCGTGATCGTGATCGGGACCGGGACCGGGATAGGGATAGAGATCGGAGTGAGCGCGAAAGAGACCGTGATAGGGAAAGAGACAGAGAAGGGGAACGAAGTGTAGACAGAGACAGAGATCGTGATCGGGAGAGAGACAGAGACATCAGAGATCATCGTGACAGAGATCGTGATCGAGAGAGAGATAGAGACATAAGAGATCATCGTGATAGAGATCGCGAGCGAGATCGGGACAGAGACAGGGACAGAGATAGAGACCGTGACAGGGATCGAGATCGTGACAGGGATCGCGACAGAGATCGGGGTCGTGACAGAGAACGAGACAGAGAACGAGACAGGGACAGAGAGAGAGACAGGGACAGAGATCGGGAGAGGAGGAAGTCCGACCAAAGTGCGAATGCTGGTAACTCGCATTCACCAGGTGCAGACTCGTAATAAGATCTCGGGCATTTTGATGTGAAAACTGTTCAGCATGATTCGTATTGAAATTATCAATAAATCTTGGTATTAAACGAATGATATGAAAACGTTGAAAAGTAAAGGTTTTCAGTAATTTAGAAAAGCCTGTGTTCACAGGCTACTGACGAGAGTATTCATTATTCAATTAGTATCATACGATTATTATATTATTTTTGTTCCTTCATAGTTATTTCGCTCTGGTATGAAGTTTTCCTCACCATAGTTATTTGATCCGACTGTCCTTAATATAGTACATTCGCATCATTTAAAATTCTTTTATATATATTCCTTTTGTTTGTGGGATACCTGAATGGTAAATTCAGGTCTTAGTTAATATTGTTTTGGAATTAGTAAATAGTTTGTGAATTTTTTAGCTTATTTTTAAATTTTATGGAACGGTTTTGATGCAAAAAATAAAGATTTTTGACATGTACAAGTGCACTGGTTGCATGTTCCCATTCAGTATACGTTTTGTCTTTCATAGTTCAAAAATATTTTAATCATTATCCATATGCCACTGGTCAGCTCACCAGGAAATGTGGTATGAAACCGAAATTCTTTGCGCTCCGAGTCTACTATGTAATATACGTGAGACAGCAAGTTAGTTTTACAGAAAATGACAATTCTTCATGGTAAGTGACTTGTTAGAATATGTTTAGTAAATTTAATCCAATAAAAGCCTGCATTGAGTCCGATGTTGCATACCGAGTATTTCGATATTAATATTTCGAATATCAACGTAGTCCCTTGGGATCACGCGTGAGATTCTATGCAGGGCCCACATGAATGTCAGCAATCGCGTGACCTCTAAATTCAATTAGGTTTTACCCCTTAGGGAATGTATTAGGGTACTGTCTTATTATTATCAACTAATTAATAACCACGTGTTGAGGACACATCACATGCATAATTTTCAATTAAGCTTAATTTAACAGCACTATGATTCTTATTATTATTAATAATTCTCCACTTCATTAAATGATTCCCGTTTCTCTCTCAAGTAGCACAGTAAAATACTTGTCGAGTGCTAACAAGTTTGAATATTGCTTTTTAATTAGGGCTCTAATGATTCGGGTTACATGTCATTTCCTTTTTCGTTTATGATCCCCACATCGGTAAGTCCAATCTCGTCAGTATATATTAGTAGAATACCCACTGAGATCGATTTACAATCCTAATAAAAGCGTGAGATCTGGCATTCTCAGAGGTCTCCAAGTATTACTTCTTTATCGTGCTGTATATGTATTTATTAAATAACTAGTTTGGGATTTAATAATAAAGTAACAAGGTCTTTATTTAATTAATTAGTATTTCATTTGGTCGAATTGAGAGAGCTCTTCGAGCTATTGCGTTGTTGAACTTTGGAGTTTTGATTGTTTTAGTCAACCAACGTTTTATAAAAATTCTAATTAACCGCGTTTGTTCATGAAATATTTTCAAGTCCGCAATATACTGAGAAGATTTCCAATACTTTCAAAACAAGATAAAGTCACATTTCCACGACCACAAATATTTTATTTTGTGCTCCTTCATTACAACACTGGTTTCCCACCTGCCAATAAATCGAACTAGCTTTACAGTTTTCAATTTTTCGGAAAGCTTTCCCATTCTAAAGGCTGGGTCACGCGGTCATACTCAAAGACTTGGTTGGAATCTTTTTATAGATATTATTATAACACAATAAGTCAACATCACAATATATTACTTCGTCTTAGTTATATACGTTTTCTCTGACAAGACGGCCATGGCATACGACTCCAACTCGGAGACACATATTAGGGATAACATCTGATCGACCCTCATCACAACCGTAACTTGGTGAACTGTTGCGCTAACTGTTCCTCTACTGAGGGCGCCGGCGGATAATACCTGGGAAGTGCCTTCGTAAGATCCGATAGATCGAAGGGATCAATTTTAGTAACCCGTGATGGACAAAGGGAGGAGAACGTCAACTGAGGTAATTGTGCAGTGTTGGTTACGCTTTGCAAGTGCATTATATGTGAATTTGTGAAGCTTGCAGTTTGTTTGTGAGAGGAGGGGGACCATGTATCTATGTCCATTGGAACAACGTCAATACTTTCTTGAGCGTAAGCAGAATGCGTGTCACAGTCCGGAAGAGAATATAGATTATACAGTAAATTCTTGATCATCTTTGGAGTCGTGATTGATGGGTAGACAACGTGTCGGAATAGGTTAAAGATGAATAATAATACGTGCATTATCCGTGTATTTGATAAGCATGTGTTCAAGAGAAGAGTAGTCTGTTGGATGTTGAGAACGAAATAGCGGATCAGATGGTAAACTCCGATTCTTTATAACGCGAATTCATCACTGTGAGCCATGCTTGCTAATGCATTCAATCAAGGCCTCCCTACTTCCAATGCAATCCAACTCAAGAAGACCAGATAGGGAAAGCCAATGAGGATTCAGAATCATTGTTGCTACCCTTGTCATTATTACAGTAATATAATAATCGATAGTTATTTATCATCCATTTAAGAAATGACTCTGATCGTAAGATTGTATGACGTTTATGAATCCATAGTTCCACAGTAATTTGCTGATGAACACGTGATGTATATCAGTATTAGGTGTTTTGGATCGGATGTTTTCTAAACTATTACTATTACTATTAGTCATGGGAAATGTCCCTAGTACAGGGGTTAGCAATGTCGTTGATAGTAGCTATTGGCATGTCGATCACAAAATTTATATATGAAATTCTTGTTTCGAAATCAATTGCTCCTATGACAAGTCACATGTTGATGTGGCATTCCCCATACCCCATATACAAAAAATGTGCACAAGAAGTTGCTCTATCATGTTGCATAACCTTGACCTTTTCTTCTCTCTTAGTTCGAGGAAGATCTTTATTTAAAGGTGAA